GAACGACCACCTCCCGTGATCGGGACACAATGCTTCTGTTAACACATCCTAAGATTGCATTTGCTTTCTTCGCAGTCACATCGCACTGCGGGCTCATGTTTAGCTTGTGGTCCACAAGAACACCCAGATCCCTTTCACAGGTGCTGCTGTCAAGCCAAGTCCCTCCCAGTCTATATCTGTGCCTTTGATTTTTTGCACCTAAGTGTAGGACTTTGCACTTCTCTCTATTGAAATTAATTTTATTTGTCTCAGCCCACTGTTCCAAACTATCTAGATCATTTTGAATCCTGACTCTGTCTTCTTCAGAATTAGCAATCCCACTTAGCTTCGTGTCATCTGCAAATCTGATAATGCTTAAGGTAGTAGACCATACACTGAACATGAGTCAGCAGTGTGATGCAGTTGCTAAAAAGGCAAATGCAATTTTTGGCTGTATCAACAGAAGTGCTTAGTTCTTGTGGCCCTTTCTTACATGCCCAGGGAAATACTGATCGCCACTTTGAGGTCAGGAAGCAATTTTTCTCCCAGCCAGCTTGCCTGGAGATCCTGGTGGGTTTTTTTTATATCTTCTGGGTGTGAAACAGCGGTCCTTGAGGGTGGGGCAGGGAGGTATTTGTGAATTTCCTGCAATGTGCAGGCAGTTGGACTAGATGACCCTGGAGGTCCCTTCCAACTCTATGATTCTAGATGGTCCATCAATTATCAGGATCTTTCTGTTCTCCATTCCGAGCCAGGCCTGGGTGGGCAGCCATAGGGCAGTCACACTCAAGGGATGCTTCTGCCCTTGACCAATTTTGGTTGGACTTCAGGCTAGAGATGGGCCTTTTCTCTCTCTCTCTCTCTCTCTCTCTCTCTCTCTCTCTCTGGTGCATGATCTCATTTGCAGCTGGATAAAAAGAAATGCATCAGTCCTTTCTGCAACTTTTGACACAGGAAAGGGACTCCATCGTGTTGAGAGCGTTTGGGGAAAGATGGTGGAAGTATTTTAGGGAGTGATCGTCAATGGCTTTTGGTCCTTCTTGTCCAACCAAGGTGCAGAGTTTCTCCAGTAAAGAAGGAGAGGCATCAATAGAGGACCCGAAATGGGTAATTCCCGAAGGGTCTGCTTTCCCTCTATGCTTGCCAGCACCTCCTTCAATTGACACCACCGACTGCCTTTGCACCAGAGGCCATTGTTATGTTAACAATGCCCCCCCCCACACACACCGTATCTGTCATTTACGAAGACTCCAGAAGTGGCCGATTTGAGCAATGCCTCAGACTTCACATTCCTGGGATCCAAGATCACCGCAGATGGCGACTGCAGCCATGAAATTAAAAGACGCCTGCTCCTTGGGAGGAAAGCGATGGCAAACCTCAACAGCATGATAAAAAGTAGAGAGATCACCCTGCCGACAAAAGTCCGCATGGTCTAAGCAATGGTATTCCCAGTAGTCATGTATGGCTGCGAGAGTTGGACTCTAAGGAAGGCCGAGCGCCGAAGAATAGATTCTTTTGAACTATGGTGCTGGAGAAGACTCTTGAGAGTCCCTTGGACTGCCAGGAGATCAAATCAGTCAATCCTAAAAGAAGTCAACCCTGACTGTTCCCTGGAAGGCCAGATAATGAAACTGAAGCTCAAATACTTTGGCCACCAAATGAGAAGGGAGCACTCACTGGAAAAGACCCTGATGCTGGGAAAGATTGAAGGTCAAAGAAGACGGGGACGGCAAAGGATGAGATGGTTAGACAGTGTCAGCGATGCAACGAACATGAAATTGAGCCAACTTCAGAGGACAGCGGAAGACAGGAGGGCCTGGCGGGAGCTGGTCCATGGGGTCGCGAAGAGTCGGAGTTGACTGTGCGACTGAACCACAAATCCGTGTTCCAGTCACGTGGATGACACTGGATCCAGACAAAGCTGAGGTGACGCTGTTGGGAACGGCTGATGTTGCTGAGGGGACTGATCTGCCAACTCTAGAGGGACGATGTGTATCATCAGCAGACCACCCTGAGCTTGTACACACAGCCTCATTTAGAAAAAAGGCTGTAGCGACTCTTCGAGATTCTCTCTTTCCTCTGCATCAAGTTTGTAAATGATGCCACCTTCTGGACGCTGCTGTCTGGCTGCACCAACCCACGCTTCTGTCATCTCCACGCTGGACTACGGCAAGACCTTCTCTACAGCAGCCCGTCTCTTCACAGAGACCAGCAAGTGCACCTGTGCCAGATCACAAATATATCAGCTCTGCAGCGGCTTCTGGGCTGAACTGGAAGGTGCTGAGTCTCTGCATTCAAAGCCCTTCACAGCCCAGCTCAGCAGCAAAGCATCGCCTGGATATGCAGAAGGTCCCCGGTTCAATCTCCAGCAGCATCTCCAGTTAAAAAAAGAACCAGACAGGAGGTGATGGGAGAGACCCTGCCTGAGACCTTGGAGAGCTGCTGCCCATCTGAGTAGACACGGCTGGCCTTGATGGACAAAGGGGGGTCTGATTCAGTACAGGGCAGCTTTGTGTGTTCAGGAAACCCAGGCACCCGCCTCCCACATGCCACAGAGAAGGTGGCGTCCCACAATGCATTGCTCTCCAACACAGAATCATGTTTCTGGCTCTGTATGGCTACAGAAAGAACCCTCAACAAATCTAGGCAGGAGCTGGTCCAGTTCCAGAAGCGACACCACATGTCCAGAAGGGACAGTTAGGCTCCAAGGACAGCCACCTGCAATTAGACCCTTAAGCCATGGCTAAGAGAGATCAGGGAGGGAAGGTCAAGGCATACGTTTCTCCCCAGCATCTCTCCACCAGTGTGGTGCAGTGGTTCAGAGCAGCGGACGCTAATCCGGGAGAACCAGGCTTGAGTCCCCACCCCTCCTCCACGTGCAGCCAGCTGGGTGGCCTTGGGTCAGTCACAGCTCTCTCAGAGCTCTCTCAGCCCCACCTAACCTCACAGGGTGTCTGTCTGTTGTAGGGAGAGGAAGGGAAGGCAATAATCATAAGCTGCTTCGAGACTCCTTTGGGTAGTGAAGAGCAGGATATAAATCCAACTCTTCTTCTTCCTCCTCCTCCTCCTGCACCCGCACGCAAAGACATCCCAGCCTTACTGGCTATGTTTTTTTAGCCCATCCTTCCTCCCAAGAGTCTCTGCTTTCCTTCTCTCCCCCACACCTCCAAAGTGTTCTCGCCATCAGCTCGCGAAAGGGGTTAGGCGGAAAGAGCCTTACTGGACTGAGGATACCCAGTGAGCTTCGTGGCAAAGTCAGGATTTGAACCTGGGCTTCTCCTGCACCACACCGGCTCCCTGCCTGTGGGCCGCTCCCTGCGGGCCGCTCTCTCGTTCCCCTACGGTGTTCTACGTCCACCTTTACTGATTACTCTAAAGCACTGGCGCTCGCAGACTGTCGGCCCCCATTTGCAGCCATTCAAAGAGGTGTGCCTTCCCACACTGACCCATATGGCTAGCCACAGCAGCCAGACCGCAGACGCACGTGGCTAGGAAGGCCCAGCAGAGTCCATTGCCAAAGGGCAGCCACCTGTCACCGTCCAGACCCTACTCCAGGCATCCCTTGACTCCCTTGGCCATGAAAGGGGATAAACACAAACGTCCCTTGCTTAAAACGTGGACAGTGCGGGAGCAAGGCATGAAGGCTTACCTGCCTCTCCCAACAGGGTTACATGTTCACAGCCTGGGGAACTCCTACGAGATAACGACTCAGCCCTACCCCCACCTTCCTGAGTAGATATAAATCACCTGCCTACCATTTTTCTTCTCACATTTTTCTACTCCCTCTTTCTGTGTTATACCTCTGAGGATGCCAGTCACAGCTGCTGGCGAAACGTCAGGTCCTACAATGCCGAGACCACGGCCACACAGCCCGGAAAATCTACAGCAACTAAGGGTTACAGTGGATTGGCCAGTTCACACCTGTGGTGCCAGGTGCCCCCGGGTATGGCGCATAACCACTTACAAAGGCTCCAAGAGACATACAGCACACACAACAACTGGCATCGGGAAAGCAACACATAACCACACCGTCCACAACGGCCATGTGGGACGGAAGCTTTGCACGGGAACAGGGCAGCAGGAAAGCCAGCCCGGGACAGCAAACAGCTCTCCAGACGATGCTCAGAATCTCATGGCAGGAAGCTGCTGGTGGGAGGGAGGTCACCTGCTTGCACCCCCCCCCAAAAAAATATATGAACGGCGGCTTGCACAAACCAAGCGAGGAGGAGGAGGAGGAGGAGGAGGAGGAGAAGGGGAGGTTCAAATGTGTTTTTTTGGGGGGGGGCAGGGCTTCAAAGGCTCAGCCAGTTTGGTGCAGTGGTTAAGTGCGCAGACTCTAATCTGGGAGAACCGGGTTTGATTCCCCACTCTTCCTCCACTTGCACCTGGCTGGATGACCTTGGGCGAGCCGTAGTTCTGATAAGAGCTGTTCTTGAAAAAGAGCAGTTTCTGTCAAGAGCTCTCTCAGCCCCACTGACCTCACAGGGTGTCTGTTGTGGGGAGCAGGAAAGGAGTTTGTAAGGCACTCTGAGACACACCTTTGGGTAGTGAAGGGCAAGGGGTAGAAATCCAATCTCCTCCTCCAATCTCCTCCTCCTCCAGCCTGAGGGCCAGAGCAGTGTCTCAGCCTGGGCTGCCACTTCCATCCCGTGGTTCAGCTCCTCCCTGTTCCCACCAGCCTCCCCCCCACCCCCGCCAGCAGGTCCTTCTG